GGCAGTCACAGCTAGAAACTGTTAATATTGATCATACTAATGAAGAAGGCAAGACAGCACTAATGTTAGCTTGTGAAAGAGGACATGAGGACATTGTACACAGTTTACTGTCTGCTGGAGCTAATGTTAGCATTCAGGACAATAAAAAAGCACAAGCTTTTATGGGCACTTGTCACTATGGTCACACACAAATAGTTGAAATGTTACTGAAGGAAGAACAAGTTGATCCTAATGTTCAAGCAATAGAAGGTTGGAATGCTTTTATGATGGCTTGTCAAAATGGTCACACTCAAATAGTTGAATTGTTGCTGAAGGAACAAGTTGATCCTAATGTTCAAGCAATAGAAGGTTGGAATGCTTTTATGATGGCTTGTCAGAATGGTCACACTCAAGTAGTTGAATTGTTGCTGAAGGAGCAAGTTGATCCTAATATTCAAACGAATGATGGAGTGAATGCTTTTATGTCGGCTTGTCACAATGGTCACACTCAAATAGTTGAACTGTTGCTGAAGGAACAAGTTGATCCTAATGTTCAAGAAAAAGATGGTTGGAATGCTTTTATGTTGGCTTGTCACAATGGTCACACTCAAATAGTTGAACTGTTACTGAAGGAACAAGTTGATCTTAATGTTCAAAGGAATGATGGAGCAAATGCTTTTATGCTGGCTTGTCTAAATGGTCACACTCAAATAGTTGAACTATTGCTGAAGGAACAAGTTGATCCTAATGTTCAAGAGAAAGATGGTTGGAATGCTTTTATGTTGGCTTGTCACAATGGTCACACTCAAATAGTTCGACTGTTGCTGAAGGAACAAGTTGATCCTAATATTCAAAATAATGATGGAGGGAATGCTTTTATTTTCGCTTGTGAAAATGGTCACACTCAAATAGTTGAACTGTTGCTGAAGGAACAAGTTGATCCTAATGTTCAAAGCGAAGATGGTTGGAATGCTTTTATGATGGCTTGTCAAAATGGACACACTCAAATAATTGAACTGTTGCTGAAGGAACAAGTTGATCCTAATGTTCAAATGAATATTGGCCTTACTGCTTTAATGATTGCTAGTGCTAATGGACAATATGAAGTAGTTAAGTTATTATTAGAATGGAAAGCTAATCCAACTATTAAGTCTAATAAAGGACACACTGCATTATCTGTAGCCAAAACTAAAGAAGTATCCACTTTGCTCAAAGAATTTTTTAATAAAGGTAATATAATATTTGATGAAGATGCTGCTAGTGTATATTCATCTGCAACAGTATCCAGTCGTGCATCCAGTGGGTATCATTCAATATCCAGTGGTTATAGTAGTATAAGAACTTTTTCTTCAATTAAATTAACTTTTAAAAAAGACAAGTATAAGTAGCAAAGTAGATGCTTAGTTAGCTGTACAATGTACATCACAGTTCTTAGATACACTTTTTGTGATTACATGTATTGAAGAGTACTCTTGATGTATTATTGTTATTTTTTAATTAACAACTTTATAAGGGCGTGGCATTGTCACGTGCGTGCTGCAATATGGATGGTCCTGGTGTATTTAAATGGATCACATTTCAAGAGATACTGTTTCTCTTCATATCTTGTTCAGTATTAGCGTTCCTATTAAGATCACAGGATAGCCTAGAGTTTAAACTAGTACTGAACGTTACTACTGAGGAAAGGGCCGCGAGAGAGAACTATGCCAATCAGAAATTCCCTCTTAGAAATGAAAAACTGTAAGGAAAAAATTCTTAATGGTGCCTTAGCTTATTATTATTCTTTATTCAGTCCTTTGCCTATTGTAACTGATTTGGAAAGTGATGGACAAACAGGTACTGCTATACTGTAATACTAAGATTTATATTAATATTAATATGTAATACGTAGATTTACATGGAATAAATTTACAGATTTTTTCCTATTGGTTTTTGCGACAAAATGAACTCCCTACATGTACCTGCATGTATGGCTAGAACTTCTTAGAAAACCTTATCTTTACATGGGGAATCTATTAGTACCCCCCTTTTCAGTGGCGTATCTAGACTTTTGAAGATGGTGGGGCAAAGATGGCGCGCGAAGCGCGCCGAAAAAATTTTGAGGTTAATTAATATTCATAATGGGCGTGTTTTTAATTAAAGTACGTCTACACCCACAATAATGATGATGAAGTCGACTATATCGGACTAGCTCAGCTTGCTCTTTTCTTCTCTAAAGTTCTCTTTTGAGTGTTTTCTTTACTTATTGTGTTCTCTGGCCTTAATCAAGATTGGAGATATCTTAAAATTTTAACTACAGTAAATTAGAAGGCAATATTAATTTTGATTCAGTAGCAGTTGGTAGGGCAAATGCCCTACCATGCCCTACCTTGGATACGCCACTGCCCCTTTTACTTACATTGTACATGTAGATGTATGTGACATGTACTTGTAATTATTTATTCTTCCATCACTAGATATACTAGTCAGTACTGATAAGATACTCAATGTATACTCACGCCATTATACACCTTCTTATCTTGGACACCATGGGATCAGACACAGTAATAAGAATGTAAGAGAGAGAGAAAGGGGGGGGGGGAGAGAGAGGAAGAGAGAGAGAGAGAGAGAGGGAGGGAGAGAGAGCGGATGAAGATATTTTGTTTGTTTGTAGGTATCATTGTCAAAGACGTCATGTGTTGTTGCTATGACAACCGGTTTCTTACAACCGTACCAGTCAGTGGTACAAGTACGCAAGCAGGTTAGGAGAGGGGGAGAGGAAGAAATACATGTACATGTATATACTGTACATGCACATGTGTATGCGTGTACATGTATTGTACATGTACATATACATGTTCTCATGTATTTATTTATATATTTTAGGTGATAGCAGTACTTTATTCTGATTGGACGCTCAGTTGCTATAATCACAACCTCAAACTGATGTGGAGCCAAAAACTGAATGAAAAGGAAATCCCAATTTCCAGGTGACGACAATATTCTAATTAATGCACATCTTTAACTAATATTGTAATAACTGTCCCCTCCTCTTATAGTGAAGCTAGTTTGTTAGTATCAGCCATTAGCATCAAGAAGAGTCCAGCTGGAGTTATACTAGTAGGAGGAAGAATTAATGGAAACTATGACAATAATAATAATAATAATGATAATATTGGAGGAGATAGTGATAAGAGAAGGTAAGGGAGGGAGAGAGAGAAATTGAATGCTGTACATATTTTATTATTTTCAATGTTTATTTGTGATAGGATGAGAAGAGGAGCAGAACAGGAAAAGATGGAGCATCAAAAAGTACAGCATTTTGTACTTTTTGTATTTATAATTATAAATAATTATAATTATAAATATAATTATATTTATAATTATAATTTGTATTTTTAATTTGGGTACATGTACTTGTACATTTACTTTTAAGCTTTATAAAAGCTTTTTTAAATATTATTAAATTACTTTATTATTATTAACGACCTGGGGGCGAAGCCCCCAGGTCGTTCCTATAATTGAATTCACCCTCGCGCTATGTATATATATATATATATTTGTATGTCCACACTTACATTTCTTCTATACACGTTGTATTGGAGAAATAACAAGCCTTAGCAACCACCCGCCCACGCTCGTTTACGTGAGTGGGTGTGGTCACGGCAAACAAAATGGCGGCTTACACATGGGACAAAGCTAAGAGCTTTCTAACAGCAAGAGAGCATAGAGATACTGTCTAAAGACTTCTCTAGAAGCATTATAAGGTAGAGAGAACCTCTATAAGTCTTAGTAATGACCTAATTGTACTTGCAAGGTGGTGAAATCAATTATAGGAATATTTTTTACCCTGTTACGCTTGTTCTTTTGTTGTTAATTCAGTCATAAGCTGTTAAGTTGTTTATTGGTGATCAGATCCTGCTAACAATTAAGTAGTACTGTCTATACTGAGTTTGTACTACATTGCATGGCAAAATGTACATGTAGGTCATACAAAGAGACGTAAATATAGTGGGAATATTTGGTGGCTCGTAATATTGGTGATTCCATGATTGCAATGTATTGGGAGTCTTTATTGTGTAAATGAGTAATCTTAATTTTATAGACAAGTGAAGCTAAATTAATATACATGTACAACTATAATTATCTCTTTTTAAACAGAGGCCCGAGGCTGCATCAATTGGGAAAGAAGTGAAAAGTTCCAGTCTGGTACGATGATAAATTGTATATTAGCTTTACATGTAATTACATATGTAGGGAAGGGAATTGATAAAGTCCATAGAATCTGATACTAAACCTGAGGAGGTTATTATTCTATTTGAAGCTGGAGCTGATCCTAATGCTACTAAGGTTTGTAGCTACAGTACATGTATACTGTAATATTCTAATTTGTTATTGTAGTATCCATCTGGTGAACACCCTGCTCTTATTATAGCCATTAAAAATGATAATATTGATATAGTGAAATTGTTACTGGAGAAAGGAGCTAATCCCAATGCTACTGAGGTTTGTAGCTATATATACTGTATTTTTTAATTCATTGTTACAATAGTATTCATTTGGTGGCTCTCCTGCTCTTATTGTAGCCATTGAGAAGAATAATATTGGAATTGTTGATGTGCTACTTGAAAAAGGAGCTGATCCTAATATTGGTTTTGATACTGTAAGTTGCCAGTACATGCATGTAGTTACATAACAGCCAGGGCACCATATGAGGTTTTACTATTTTTTTTATAAAAGATTGAACAAGTTAGCTTTTTTAAAAGATTATTAGCATTAAAACTATACATTAATGATTTTAATGTACCATAATTTTGGTATGGTAGTTTTCAAATGTCCAACATTTCTCCAAAATTCCCTTAGAAGCTAATATTCTTAGGTACAAATATTTGTGGCTCTAGTAAACTTCTTTCTTCACTTCTACAGCACTGATACATGGCTTATATTGAAAAATGGGATAATAGATTAAGATTCTGGCTTCTTCACTGGCTTGAAAATAGTATTTAGAGCTATAGTCCAATAATTAGTTTTTTATGTGTGAGTGGTAGGGGTTAAAATTTTTTCAATATAAATGAACTGTGAAATAGACAAAAATCAATGCCCCACCAACCGTATGGTCTACATGTATAATCGTACCCATACATTACTTACACACACATTATTAGCACTTGCTTTAGTAAGTTACTCAACTGACAACTTTTAAGTATCTGTTTTATGATCATAAATAATTGTTTCAATACAGTATAAAGGTACTCCCTTGCACCATGCTAGTAAAACTGGTAATGCTGATATTATCAAATTATTAATAACTAAAGGAAAGGCTGATGTGAATGCTGTGGATAATGTAAAGTTATCATTTAATTCTATTTGTATTGTTTAATGTTGTATTTATAGTGGAACAGTACTCCAATGTTTAATGCTGTTCAGAGTGGTAGTATTGAAGCTGTTGATATTCTATTAACTAATGGAGCTAGAACTGATGTTGTGGATAATGTAAGTTTTATATTGAAACTTGACCATAATTATGCAACATAAAATTTTTGAAGGCTGTAACTTTTAGAGATTTAAGATTCAATTTATGCTGAATGCTGGCAGTGTCTGTTTATAAAAATTAAATTTAGCAGATTTGCAAAATTTACTGCGAACGCCAACACACATGCTAACATATTGCCTACATGTGTAGTCATAATGTTTCATGGGTAACTAAATTTGTGACTGAGTACAAATATTACTATTTAATATTTATGTTTGCACATGTGCAGTGATCAGTTAATACTGCCTAATACTGTAAATAACTGTGCACATTTAGCAAAGCAGACTGCCTACAATGTATGTAATTACTTAATCCAATAGCAGGCTGGCAATTTTGTTTGTTGTTTATTTATTATTATTGTTATTATTTATAGGATGGTAAAACTCTACTACATTGTGCAGGTGAATCTGGTAAAGTTGAAATGCTTGAGTTTTGGATTAAGAGAGGAGATTATGATGTGAATGTTAAAGATAAAGTAATTAATATTTAAAATTGGTAGTCACTTTACGTTTTATTATAGTGGAACAGAACTCCATTGTTTAATGCTGTTAAGAGTGGTAGTATTGAAGCTGTTGATATTCTATTAACTAATGGAGCTAGAACTGATGTTGTGTCTCAAGTAAGTGAAACCTACATGGTTGTACTGTAACAATCTGATACATTAGTTACTGATATGTACTGTATTTTACTGATTAAACGTCCGGGCATTTATTTCTTAGCAGCCAAAAAATTTTATTGAAAAAAAAAATAAAAAAGATACTTTGAGTGGAATCAAACTGCCAAGTCCAGGCAAGTTAGTTCAGGCTCTAACTTTTAGGCACTTTGGAGCTATCTAAACCGTGGAGCATTATTTCTGGTACAAATATGCTTATCTATAGCTAGAATATATTAATAACAGGTGTTTATTTGGACTAGGCGTTTATACGGTAAAATATAGTACATGTACATATAGCACTGGAATGTATGGTAATAAAAATATGCAGACTCACCTTTTATTTAAATTATTACTATTTCATTATTATTTTCATAGGATGGTGAAACTCTACTACACTATGCTGGTGAATCTGGTAAAGTTGAAATGCTTGAGTTTTGGATTAAGAGAGGAGAACATGATGTGAATGTTAAAGATAACGTAATGTTTTCAAATTATCAGTCACTTTATGCTTTATGTTGTATTATCATAGAGCAAAAGAACTCCATTGTTTGATGCTGTTATGAGTGGTAGTATTGAAGCTGTTGATATTCTATTAACTAATGGAGCTAGAGCTGATGTCGTGTCTAGGGTAAGATTTGTTGAATAAATTATGTATATTATACTAGACAGGTCTTTATGTAGTGGGTGTCCAAATGTGCAATATACAATATAGCCCAAGGAAAATATTGTATCTGCCATTAGCTCAGGCTTGTTGATTATAAATGTGATTATGTCATATATCCCTTACTGTTATAACATGTACATACTACATACATGTACATGTAACATGTATATACATGAACTGCTTACATTGATTATTCACTAATGTTCACGTGCATGTATAGTATTTGAGACATCATAATCCTCAAATCTCAATAATAATGTCATTAAGTTATAAAGTCATTAAATCAACAAGCTAAATTTGATACTACAATAATAATAATTTGGGCATAGATGCTTTGTTTATGGTTGGATTTTGTAGATTTTACATATTTAGAAATAATTCAGAATTTACACATACATGTATGCTTTAAATTATCTTGATTTTGATTTATTTGTAAACTTTTACCTCTACATAAATCACTCACTCTATGACATAATTATGTTAGATGCATGAGCTGTGAGTGCATGACTGAATAAATTTTTCCAACCTATATGTACATGTAGGGGTGAAGCTCCTAGATCATTCCTGTAATTGTTTTTACCAACATACGATCTATAATTATGTCACACTTGTATTTATTCTATGCACGTTGTATTGGAGAAATAACAAATACTAAATTAAGACACCTTAGCAGTTAGCAATTTCTTGCCCACAACCTTTATGTAAAATGGGTGTGGCCACAGCAAACAAAAACCTTCTTTAGAAGCATTATAAAGTAGAGAAAACCTCTGTAAGTCTTAATAATGAGATCCAGTTATACATGCAAGGTGGTGATAACAGTTATAGGGATATTTTTATATACTTATACACTTGTTTTACATGTACATTATATTTAATGTATAGTATAGCACTCCATTACACTATGCTGTTGAGTATCGTAAAGGTGCTGACATTATCAAATTATTAATAACTAAAGGAAAGGCTGATGTGAATGCTGTAGATAAGGTAAAGTTAATAAATCATCATTTCTAGAATTTATTTTGTGATTGTAGTTGAACAGAACTCCATTGTTTCATGTTGTTAAGTGGAGTACTGAAATTGTTAATATTCTATTAACTAATGGAGCTAAAACTGATGTTGTGAATAATGTAAGATTGCCATGTACATGCATATTGCCTACATAATACTTTGTACTATACATGTACTGATTTACACTATTATACCAACTCTCACATGTGTAAGTTTTTGTTTGAAGAAAATATTAACTGAATAACTTTTTTGTTTCTTGTGGGCATAATATGTGGATTTATTTAACAGGAAGTCAAGATTTTGACAAAGTTTTTGACTGACAAAATTTGGAGCTATATAGTATAAGTAGTCTTTTAGCATATCCCAGCATATACAGCATCTCAATTGTCCATTATATATAGAGTCTCGCTTTTAAGGTTAAACTTATTGTAATCTAAATTGAGATTCTTATAAAATAAAGTTTAGTTGAACAGTAATTTGGCAAAAGAGATTTTTTAAAAACTTTACTCATTAGTTTTGTTGTTCTAGATGGCTTGTTAACTGTAGCTCACATTCTATTTATTATTATTTATTTATCTAGTATGGTAACACTCCTCTGTTACTAGCAATTGAAAAAGGTGGATCAACTGAAGTTATCAAATTATTGATTACTAAAGGAAAAGCTGATGTGACTGCTGCTTGTAAGAAAGTAAGCATTTTAAAGGTTAACAATCAAAATTTGAAGTTGATTGACCTCTTCACAACATTATTATGTTGAATGCTATGAGAATGCATTACTTATTATTTTTATGTAGTATCGTATCAATCCTGTGCTATCTAGATTTAAAATTGCTGAGGTATTGATTACTAAGATGCCAAAGCTTTATTCAGCTGGACAAGATAGGTGTGATTATAGTGTAAGTAATAATATTGTACGTTTACTGTGCATGTAGATATGGCTTGCCAGTGAATTTAAAAATAGCCATTTTAAAGAGCCTGATACCAATGCATTTTACAAATATCATTTCTCATAATTATCTACTTTCATTATATCAGTTAATTGTAATTTGCAAGCAAAATAATTAGAGTTTTAATTTCATATTTGCCTAGAAAATTAGAGATCACATGTCCTGCTGTACAGTATGCTGGTGATTCTTTTTAAATTTTGTATGACTTTTCAACACTACCATTTAACTAAGCCATAACTATATTATATTTTGTGCTGATGTAACTAACAAGATAGACGTATTTATGGAACTTCATTAATTTTATTATGTTAATAGAGTGAAGAAGAGAACATATCCTTGGAACCTTTAGAATTGGAGAATGTGGAATCCCGTCAGACCAAAGTAAGATTATAGATTATAATCACTTACATGTACTCTGAATTGTATGTTCAGTCAAATATTTACTCTTTATGTCATTTGATAGACAATGTCCTCTTCATGGCTAGACAGGCAAGAGATGTCAACAAGCCCAATGCTCTATCATTGTGAGACGTCAGCTGAGCTAGTACATGTAAGTAATATAATAATAAAAAATACATGGACACACGCACACACATTTAGACCCCTTTAGGCAAGAATTAGTTTGTGATACCATATATCTATTCTATATACAAAGAAATAATATCAAAACGGGTTTTCATCCACCATGTTTTACATCAAAGTTATGTAGAGTTCCAATGGCTGATGTGCAAAGTAGAGCTGTTTTGCCAAAAAAGTTTGTTGTGCTCAACTCAGTATGATGAGAGGCTTCATATCAACTGTTCTTTACTATAGCAAGATATTTTGAAGATTTAAGAAATCTGGGAGAGCCAGAATGATCAGTTTTTGACTCCCCCCTCACAGCTCATAGAGCAAAGCAGGCTCATACAACAAGAGTATTGCACTGTACTTCCTAGGTTGGCTTTCTTGGCATCCTTTTTGACTCTAGAATAGTTTTTAGCTTCAAAATGTAGTGACCAGGATCTCCAGGACACAGAAAGCACTTGCTGCTTGACGTAAAACATGTCAGCCAATTATTGTACGTGGACATATACCGTAACTGAAATATAATGATATTCATTACAAAATTAACGATATTCACAAGCTACTACTTCTCACCTAAAGGGATCTATACAAATTATGGCCTTACAGGCTACCGTATAGGGTAGGGGAAAATTTTGGAGTGAATTAAATTTGGCAAATTTTAACATTTTGATAGCCTTTTGCCAAGATAAAATATGCCATTTTGAGCCATATTCTACGCATGCTCAATGGCATGTGGCCACTAATTTGCCAAATTAAAATTCGCCAATCACCAAAATTTAGCAATTCACTAAATTTAGCTCCCTCTAAAATTTCCTGCTATACAGTATACTGCTGAAACCAAACCTGCATATACACAACCATGCATTGTAATCCTGTGCATTATAATTATTTTGTACTAATTTTTTTAGCAGACTCATGAGAGTGCACCATACAGGCCTCAAAAGACTACTGCAGTAAGATTAATGATTCATAATTTTGCACACACATGTAATACATGTACTTTGAACAGGGACAGAGAGAAGTAAAAAGATGTAATATTTTATAATTCTAATGGCAATAGAAAAAATGAAAATATTAGCTACTTTTATATTTTTGTTATTTTGGGTATTGTTTTTATTAAATTATTAATTAAGAAAGGAGTCTGTAAACAATTACAACTCATAACAATAATGTATATACATAAAGTTTGGTATTTACTATACATTAATATCAACAGTATCATTTGTTTCATTAGTGTTAGTAGATGCATGTGGTGAGGGTACTGTGTTACTTTTCATTCTATCATCTTCCTCTGATTTTCCACAACAAAAATTCATTGCATTCCAAATCCTTATATACAGCACTGGACAGGTGTATGTTGACAAACAAACTAGTGTAAAGTGCGTGCATCGTTTTATGTCTGTAACGTGTATAATGTACATCAGTTTGTTGATATTAGTAAATGATACACTATACACTAACAACATACTCACTAGATAGTGCACTAGTTATACATGCACCATACACACTCACTATACAGTACAGGCTATCATGACTACTTTATCATGTGAGTATCATGAGTGTATAGTTTATCTTCGTTTGCATAAGCTACGTTTGTCAACTCGCACGTCAGTGTCCAGTGCTGTAGTTTAGGCCTAAATAATTTTTTCAGCCAGTAAGTAAATGATTTGTATAAACTACAACATGTACATGCAATAGAAAATGTGGCCATGTATCAGATATAAACTGGTGATATAGTGAGCCTATACTGAAGGCCATATCTACATGTACATGTGTAACTTTTTACAACACTGCCATTTAAAATAAGCCATTATAAGTGATGTCATTTTAGCAAACTGAAGTCATTTAGAAAGAAAATGTTTAAGTGCTATATGTATTTTTCAGTGTCTATAAGTGGCATAATATAGCAAATGTTGGTTGTCAACAATTTACTGTTTTTTTCTTCGTTTACAGTTAATGCTCTCATCAAGGCCAGAAAGGAAACAATTGTCAGCAATCTCAACAAGTCTCTATGATGATGAATTGCCAGCTGAGCTAGTAAGTAAAAATATAATTTGTATAAAATGCATATACACACTACAGATTGTATCATATAAGCTAGTAATAGCAAGCCTGCATTGAAGGCATACTAACTACAGTTTAAGTTGACTTTTTACAACACTGCCACTTTATCTAAAGCATAGCCTGTATATGATAACTAATTATTTATTGCAGACTAAAGAAAGTACATATAGGCTTGACAAGAGTAGTACTGCAGTAAGATAATGATTCATAATTATGCACATTATTCATGTACTTTGAATTAACAGGGACAGAGAGAAGGAAGAAAATGTGATATTTTATAACTTGTCAATGGTCTAAGAAATTAAAAATAATAATTTTAGCTTTTTAAATTTTTTTGTATTGCTTTTTATTATTTTTTTTATTAAAGAATTTTAAGTATGTACTAATGATTACAATTTCTACAT